ACAGGCTGATTATATGTAAATATATTATATATGTTATTAGTTGGACTTATTTTATTCAAATATTATATTTTAAAAATAAATATTGTAATATGCTTTTATTTCTTCAGTATAACTCGTGTGTCTGATAACAGGAAGGAGGTATCTTAGCAAAGAGTCCTAAATCCTACTCATCTTATTTATGAACCGATTTCATTAATATTCGTTTCTATTGCTTCTGATCCGATGAATGTTCTTTTGGTTTTACTGGCAAGCGTCCTTCTCTATATTATATATAGAGAAGTTTCTTCAATCTATTTCACATACATATTATATATAGATATATATAGATATAAACATTTTCTATATATATATATATATATTCTATATATATTCCATAAGGTTCGACATATGGAGACTCTGAGTTGTACAATTTTTTTATTTTTTTTTATTTGTGAAAGAAACTGGAATTAATTTTCAAGATATTTATTTATTTATTTGAAATCAAATACAGCCTAGAAGTTATAGTGAAGTAAAATATTCAGAAATTAGGGTTTGGGATTTAAATTTTTTTTTTCTAATTTTCAGTAAAAAGAGATTCCAATTTATTACAAGCCTTATAGTGATCATCAGTTGGAGTATCATTCGTTTGTAAATAAAAATTCCGAATATTGAATGAGTCTTCTACTTCATTCGTGGAAGGCTAATAAACAATCACACCCACGGAACCCTTATCATTACTTTCCGTTTCGTTTAGAATCGAATCCACTAATTCAGAGCTATAATGCTCAATAATTTCGCCATCTGTAGAAAAGCTTGATGTAGAAATTTGATTATCAAGCTCAATATAATCGTTAAGAGAAGCATTGGGAATTATTTTATTTACTTTAAACCACGCTCCCAGCGACTGGCATTTGAGCAAAGAAGCAACATAAGAAAAAAAATTAAACATTTGATTTGGGAAAAGGGACTTCCCTAACACCAAAATGGATTCATACTTAAAACAAAAATTTGACTTATAGAATGCACTTTCCCACATTCCTATTGGCACATAGAAGTTCGAGTTATGGAAGCAGAATTGTATGTAATTTGCTCTCCAAAACCTTGTTACTTTCTTTTTAGTTCGAGTTATAGAAAATTCGAGTTATAAAAGTTCGAGTTATAGAAGTTTCTGTGTATATTATTATATATATTATTATATTTATTATTATATATATTATTATATATATTATTATATATATTATTATGTATATGATAAAATATATTCCATTAACTTTCAAAATTAAGCATAGAGTAATATCAAATGAGTTTGAGAACTTTACATCTATCATTGTGGAACAGGAAAAATGGTTTAAATGGAAGAGTTTTTAATTACATGCTAACAAGTTATATCCAACAAAGTCTTTGTACTTTTCTTAATATTATTAATGAACGTTTTTGAAATACATGAAGCCTTACCATTGATCAATTGTCATTAAAGGTATTTGATGTTCTTAAATACAATAATAGCTGCATAATAATAATATAATAATAGTAATAATAAAAATATTAATTCGGATAACTTTAATAAAAAAAACTCCTCATACGCAGTTGGTCTGGGGTGTAATGGAACCGTACTTCCATAAAATTAAGAAAGATGTCACTTGTGATCGCTGTAGCCTGTTAATAGCTAATTTTTTTATAATAACTTATAATATTAACAAGACAGAAATACAAGTTTGTTATAAGCAAAATAAAATCACATTACATTAATCTTCTTCTTCATAAAACTATTGCAAAGTTTAAGTTTATGGAAAGAAAATTACATTTATAAGGCAATTCCATAAACTCTATTAATAAATAAAAAAATTCTTTTTTTAAAATGCTTTATTGTTATTAACAAATTACATTTATAATCAGTTAACACTGATAATAAGTGAATGTACACATGAGTCATTATAGATAAGAACATTTCTATTGAGAAAAAAAAATTATTAATTTACAGAACTTTTAAGTGTTCTGATTGAAGATAACAGAGGAATTAGAAAAATTAATTTTTCACCATATATTATTAGTGAGCAAGGATTGTGTGAAGTAGTATGGTTTTATAAACAATTGAGAAATGAGGAACATTAATTTTAAATTATTAAACATCGGACGAATTTACTATATTTTGTTAACTGGTTTGTGTACTGTTCAAATCAACATAAGAGAGCAAATCGTGACACATTCCGGGTTCTTCAGACTATATGGACTAACCTATAAGGCTCTATTTATTATCACCATAATATACAGCGTGATTAAAAAACATTTTTTGGTTATATATAATGGAACTACACTGAAAGGAGTTATATTTGCCAGTTTTCATATCGTTCATAGTGTGTATATCGTACTTGCTACCTTACGTTGTTTTCATCGCGATCATTCAATAATGGAGATTTTTAAAAAATTATTCACACTAAATTTTCGTTTTCTTCGTACATTAGAGGAGACATCTCCTCGTCGGCAGATGTTAAATCGGCTTTTATACATCAAATTCGGTCTGATGAGTATACATGTGTTTCTCATGATTATGCTTTCTGTCAAATTTATTTATATGGGCGAAGGAGTCGGTGTACTTTCTATGTTTTACAGAATGAATTACTTTAATTACCTTGACGCATCCTTTTATCATCTTAGTCAGGCATTATGGTATATTCTTGCTAATTTTGAAACTATAAATTTCCGCCTCAGATTGATAATAAAGAATGAGTTGTATAATCGTAGTAACAACAATAGTAAAGTATTGACCGAATTGTATGACTTGTCCATAGCGCACTCCGAGTTCCACAATTTGTTGGAACATGTGATTAGCTTATCTAGATTTGAAATTTCGAGTATGTCGTCTTCATATTTTTGGACTCACACAACGAATTCATTTTTATTTTACCAAATTTATTTGGGAAAAATGCACCGTGAATTTTTTTTTAATTGCTTTATATGCATTTCGATGGTATTAAATTTTATAAATATATACTTTCTGAACAACTTGTGTCAATTCATCACTAATGCTCGTAAAGAAACAATGGAAATCTTAAGCGAAACTACTGAATTTCATAGAAACACAGATGATAGATTGGCAGTGGCGGTGAGTATTTGCTTAAGAGTAAATATAGCTCATAGTAAAACATGTTTTGTAATGATATGATTTTCTTTCAGTGTGAAGCATTCATTTTACAACTCGCTTGTAGAGATCCATCTATTAGAACCTTCGGTATATTCACCATTAACAAACAACAAATATTCAATATCTCAGTACAGATCAGTTTATACACTATAATGTTAATACAATTCGATTATGTTTAAATTCAATTTATATATATAAATATGAGCGTCACATTTAAAGAAAATAATATTCTAGAGAATAGTGGTAGTGTCACTTTTCTCAAACTTTATAATTGCATATAGTTATACACTGATTAAGAATCATCAGCGTCGGAGTGGAGTGGAGGATTCATTATACTAATGATCCAGAAATGCAATACATATACTCAAATTGCTTTTTCTCATTTCAACTTTTAGTATATGTGGTAATACACAATTTATATTAAGCTTTTGTTTGCTGTTTATTGAATTATATATAATATTATGTATTTGTAATTAATAAAAGTGTTTTGAGCAATAGAAAGTTCAGCGACCTTTCTGATCACTATTAATAGTTCATCTAAGATAACTAAGAAAATCTTAACACTTATCTTAGAATTTTTATTTAATATCTCTATAAGAAGTGTAATGTTAAAATCGGAGAACAAAGACTACAATTACTTAAATTAATTATTGTTATATTTGTTCTAATAGATCAGTAAGTTAATGTGTTAGTAAATATTAACTATACATTAAAAAAACTGCAAATTAGATCCGCATAAATCAAGAACTTCAAGTACTTCAGTTGATTAATAAATCTGATTCTTAGCTTCAATTTTGACAGAGTGTAAATTCCATTCTTGCCACTTGCATTCGAAAAACTTATTTTCTAATAATTAACTCAATGTAGTATTGTCAAGTACTAAACTATGACCGCTCAAGTATTCAAAATTTTCTATTTAAAAACAAGTCTTTCGCCACCATAATTTGATTTTGTAATAAATTTTAATTTGATTTATTTATTAATTTATATACTATCATCGGACTCATATCGAAATTATTCTGTAAGTCAGCAAACTCAAATATTAACATAAAACAAAATCAATAAAAATATATCACAACTATAAAAAGATAATGCACAACAGGGTGTATAACTTAAAACTTAGGCAAATTTATTTAGAGACCTATTTAAAAGGCAGGTCTCTGTAGTAATAAGCTACTAACTCTCTGAACAGTATTTAGTTCTTGTACTTATAAACGAAAAATTCACTTGTATGGAAATTCAAGCAAACTAGATGTGCATAAAAAAGTGCCTATATTATGGATGTCGAATAATATGGAACTCATGATATGACCTATAAACTGCCAAGAACTCAAGTCACTAATTCACTTCAAATCACTGCACCATCCTCTACGAAGAAGCACAGTATAATTGACTTTAGAAAAAGTACTTAGACTAGTTTAAAAACCGTTCACTGAAACAGTCAAAGCACCAGTCTTAATTCCTCATAAAAGAATAAATATAATAGCTTTAAACGCTTCGGTTCATCACATCTTAGAAAAATGATTTAATAATTCTGTACAACCTCTTTACTTGATCCGGTAAACAAAAGAAGTTGTTCTGTTTTAAAAAATAAATATTAGAACAAAACTCTTAAGCATGAGAGACTTTTATAATTCTTAACAGAACTCAATTTCACGGGTAGAAGTAGATTCCAAAACGATAAGTTCTGTATTCTCCATTCTGAAGAATGTGTGAGAGTAAACTCAGAAAACTCTATTTAATTTAATGGAGAATTTAAAAGATATTATTATATAGTTTAATCGCAAGTACGTATGTATGCGCATTGATATTGAAAAAAATAATTACTAACTGTTTGATCAATAAAAATTATAGATTGCTATAGTCAAACATCACTTACATGTATAGTTAAACTTCTCGCGTCCACTCTAGTGCTCTGATGTAAATCGTGACAAATACTCGTATTGCAACAAAATTTTGATTTTCAAAATGTACTAAAGATCACTTACTTTCTGAAAGCAAGAAAATTTATTTAATAATAGTAATTATGTTGTAGATATTTGTAAATTTGATCATTTACTAGCAAATTTGTATGTAATACAATGCATATATGCATATATGTAATTACCTTACTATATACAATATCCAATTCTGTAGCTCCAATATTGCGTTCACGAAACTCACCAGTAAGAATATGTGTCAGTCTTATAAGCATAGAACATACAATAATCACAATAATCCAAATCACAGCTATGTACACTCCTTGGTAAGGGTCTCGTATGATTCGCTTCGTATACGGCGAAGTTTATCCAATTCTGTAGCTCCAATATTGCGATCACGAAACTCACCAGTAAGAATATGTGACAGTCTTATAAGCATAGGACATACACGTCACAATAATTCAAATCACAGCTATGTACACTCCTTGGTAAGGGTCTCGTATGATTCGCTTCGTATACGGCGAAGTTTACGGAGTTAGCGCGTTGATCAAGTAGTCGTCCTTCTATTAGAGTGATTCAAAAACAAAGCGTTGACAAAGCGTTTGTTGCGTTAATAAATATAACACGGATATCCACACGAGATAGACAACTGTATTTAGTGATTAGTAATAAAATGTGGATAAGTTCACCAAAACAAAATCATAAGAAAGAATTATTGTTCAAAATGTACATAAACAACGTGTAGCTAAATTCAATATCTCCAATTATTATTATATAAACAAATAAATTTGCAGACACCACAATCACTAATAAAAAACACATAAACTATCGAAATATGATATATTAATTTAAAGTAATTTCCGATCACCAGACGCAGAAGTTCTAATAACTTTGTTATTGTGTATTTTTATGGTCCGGTAGTCAGAATTTGACAGTTGTATGCATATTGCAAAGCGTGTGGAGGATAAGAATGGGAATGGAATGGGAATTGAAATATTCCAATAAAAACTTAACAAAATCTATTTAAAATATCTAATTTATGTATGTAGGTATGTTTTTTGAATTTTTGTATTAGAAGACAATTTTGATGAGAAAATTCTCATAAAATTTTACGATTTAAAATTTTTTTTCAAATTTTATTTAGTAAATCTGAACAGTTTTATCCATCCACACAATAATTATGAACTCGCTTTGCAATGCATATAGAATTTTCGAATAAGGGGAACAGAGCAGAGAGAAACAAACTGCGTATTTCTTACTATAGTGACCATTTCGAAGCAATAAAAAAAAATTATATAATCAAAAGACAAATTCCTTAACTTCCATGAAATCATATATTGCTAATGGCTCCCTCATTAGATTTATAATCAGTTAACACAATTGAAAGTAAGTGATTGTCATATGATTCATTATAGATAAAAGCATTTCTATTTTAAAAAATGTTCCATTTATAGAATTTTAAAATGTTTTGATTGAAGATAACAGAGGAATTAGAAAAAATAATTTTTCACCACATATTTCACCACGCAAGGATTGTGTGAAATAGTATGATTTTATAAACAATTAAGAAATGAGGAACATTATTTTTAAATTATTAAACATCGGACGGATTAACTATATTTTCTTAACTGGTTTGTGTACTGTTCAAATCAACATAAGAGAGCAAGTCCTGACACATTCCGGATTTCTCAAAATATATGGACTTACGTACAACATAGCTTTCGTGACTTACATAGTATACTGCTTGATTCAAAAGGAATTTTTAAGATTTCATTTAAATGATATATAGGGACTCGTGGGGGCGGTTTTCATTTGGTTCACACCTTATGTGCGGTATTGGCTACTTTACGTTGTTTCCACCGCAATCGTTCAATGATGGGGATTTTCAAAGAATTATTTACATTCAAGTTTTCTTCGTACATTAGAGAAGACATCTTCTCGTCGGAATATGTTATCTCGACTTTTGTATATTAAATTAGGATTGATGTTCATACATATTCTTTCTGCAATAATGTATTATTTATATCTTATTGTTATTGGCCAAGCATCGAGATTGCTTTCGAATTTTATTAAATTCAATTATTTTAATTCCATTGACGCATCCGTATATCAGCTAACCCAGGCATTATGGTATATTTTGGCTAATTTCGAAACTATAAATTCCCACCTTAAAATGCTTATGAAGAAGGCATTAACTGGTCATATAGACGATTTCACCAAGTCATTAACTGAATTGCATGATTTATCCATATCACACTCAGAACTCTTTAAGTTATTAAAACAAGTGATCCATTTGTCCAGATTTGAAATTTTGTGCATGTGTTTTTACAACAAATACGTCCTTTTATTATCTATATTTCGTGGGTAAAATGAAGAGAGAGTTCTTTTTTAACTACTTTATATTCGTTGCCCTCATAATACATTTTATAAATATGTACTTTCTACACAACTTGTGTCAATTTATCACTGATGCTTGTAATGAAACTATGGAAATCATCAGTGAAACCACTGAATTTAACAGAAACATAGATACTAGGTTTCTGAAGGCGGTGAGTAATTTCTATTACTTTGATTTATAGTAAAATAAATTTTATAATAATATGGCTTTCTTTCAGTGCGAATCATTTGCTCTGCTACTCGCTTGTAAGGATTCATCTATCGAAAACTTTGGATTATTCAATATAAACAAACAACATATATTCAGTGTCTTAGTACAGATCAGCTTATATAGTATTATATTAATTCAAATGGAGTATGTTTAAATAAAAATGTGTAATGGAATAAAAATTTGAATTGTTCTTGCATTATATGTTTTGTTGTTACTTATCAGATTTGTTCTACACTCTAAGCGCCTCAAACATTTTGTCCCACTGACTACAGGCCTAGTTACAAAAGAAATAGAAAAGGGGAAGTATCTAAATCTAAATCAAAGTTATTCAAAAAGAAACAAGCAGGCACAACCACTTGTTTCCAAAACCGAGGAGACATATTTAAACGGTACCCAACGTTATGACCCATCTGAAATAACAATTATTTTCAACAAGTCTACAGGCTTCAGCAAATCTAATAAGATAGGACATTTAATTTTAGTACCAGAAGTTTGATTGTTGGCACCTTCGAAATTTAAAATGGGTTTATATAAAAATGTTATGAAATAAGCAAAACTAATTGAATATAATTTCAAAAAAGGAATTGAAAAAAGGTAATGTCTTCATTTTGATAAGGAAAAAAATTAAAAAAATAAGACAATCTTTATTAAGATTGCATCGAGAAGAGTAAAGCCAATTGTAGTAATCCCTAAAAAAAAAGTGATCATACATTAAAATTACGTTCCCTAGAAGGGTCAACTCACACTTTCAATGGCATAAGGAAGTCGACCTTCTGATAAAATTTGGAATAGCTGTTACAGTTAACCATTTATGATTTTAATTTTTAGGCGAGTGCAGTATTTCACTGCTTCCATGAAGACTTTGAAGTGTTTGCGGAAACAGTTCTTCATGGCGTTTTCCCATCAACAGTGCATAATATCTGTTCAGAAGGCTTAAGATAAATAATTCAGAAGATATTCAGAAATTTCTTTTATGTGAAATCATAAATTACAAAATAATACAATGTTTTGAACTTAAGGTTTCTCTGAATAAAACAGTAATAATTTTAGTCTTTAAGTTCTAATAAATGTTTTTGAATTTAACTAACATAAGTACGAGAAAGAAGACATATGATATAGTAGGCCTATACAAAATGTGTGATCTAGTAACATATTATAATAAGAAGGCACCCCATGGGATTTTGCCACACCCACCCTTTCGATAAATGTAATATATCGTTGCCAAGAATATGGATTTGTTGTGTGTGCAGAGACTTACATGCAATAATTAATTACAAAACTTCTTTTTACGAGGAAGAGGAAACAGAATTATTTATTTAAATATATATAAAACTATTATTTCTATACTAAAAATTCAGAAAAGGCTTTCTTGGGAAAAATCATTATTTCAAAAAATCATGTCCTTATTCTCTATTCCACATAACCACTGATCTCAAACAACAAAGCCTCACTTAATAATATAGGTTATAATAATAATTATGATATAATAAAGGAGTTCAAATTAAAATAATGCTAAATAACTCAACAAATATTTACTCAGTTTTGTAGAACTGCTAAAAGCATACATAATTAATTTTGATATCATAATAAATTACTTTATTAATTTGAAGTGTTATTTTTGCCTTAACTTCATAATATAATTTATTTCTAGTTCGGAATATGATCTCTGGATTTTTAAATCTAAAAAATTAGTTTATAAAAAACAGGCTCTTCTTGAAGTTCTATGTGGTTTAAGAAGTGTCTAAATATTTTATATACAAATTGAAATATCTTTTGAAGCAGAAAATATATAAGGACCTTAAAAAAATCCATTAATATTTCATAGTTATTATAGTTTAACTAGTTAACTAGTTTAACTAGTTAATTATCTACATTTTTGGTGTCATGAAACTATTTTTAATATCAACTGGTCAACCATTTCCGCACAGTTTACTGTACACGAGTCGAAAACCCAAGCACGTTCGTACCCGACTACCGAAATGATCAAAACTTCGAACAGTTTAAAGTTCTGGTAATAAATAACCACCCTTCTATTAAATATTGTATAAAATTAATGTTAAAACGAAAAGATATACTATTAAAAGCACATCAAAAGATAACACATAATGGAGTGTATAATTTAGAAGTAAGGAAGTATTTAAAACATAGGTCTCTGTAGTAATAAGCTACAAACTATTTGAACAGCATTTAGTTCTTGTAGATGTGCATAAAAAAGTGCCTATATTATGGGTGTCGAATAATATACAACTCATGATTTGACCTATAAACTTCCAAGAACTCAAGATACTAATTCACTTCAAATCACTGCACCATCCTCTACGAAGAAGCACAGTATAATTGACTTTAGAAAAAGTACTTAGACTAGTTTAAAAACCGTTCACTGAAACAGTCAAAGCACCAGTCTTAATTCCTCATAAAAGAATAAATATAATAGCTTTAAACGCTTCGGTTCATCACATCTTAGAAAAATGATTTAATAATTCTGTACAACCTCTTTACTTGATCCGGTAAACAAAAGAAGTTGTTCTGTTTTAAAAAATAAATATTAGAACAAAACTCTTAAGCATGAGAGACTTTTATAATTCTTAACAGAACTCAATTTCACGGGTAGAAGTAGATTCCAAAACTAGAACTTCAGCATTCTTCATTCTGAAGAATGTGTGAGACTAAACTCAGAAAACTCTATTTAATTTAATGGAGAATTTAAAAGATATTATTATATAGTTTAATCGTACGTATGTGTGTATGCGCATTGATATTGGGAATAATAATAACTAACTGTTTGATCAATAAAAATTATAGATTGCTATAGTCAAACATCACTTACATGTATAGTTAAACTTCTCGCGTCCACTCTAGTGCTCTGATGTAAATCGTGACAAATACTCGTATTGCAACAAAGTTTTGATTTTCGAAATGTACTAAAGATCACTTACTTTCTGAAAGCAAGAAAATTTATTTAATAATAGTAATTATGTTGTAGATATTTGTAAATTTGATAATTTACTAGCAAATTTGTATGTAATACAATGCATATATGCATATATTTAATTACCTTACTATATACAATATCCAATTCTGTAGCTCCAATATTGCGTTCACGAAACTCACCAGTAAGAATATGTGTCAGTCTTATAAGCATAGAACATACAATAATCACAATAATCCAAATCACA